GTTTGACACATAAACAGAGATGTCCACAAAGCTTTTTTTTAGTTTTTTAAACTGCTTTTCTGCAAAACTGCTGAGTCAGACATTCAGTTGAACTGATTTGATGATTAAAGGCGGCTAAACACAAAAAACAACACATATTTAGACAAGAAGGTTAATTTAAAAAGCTGATTTTTTTATTTGAGGCAGGTGACGACACGCATGCGACACCGTGCAACACTGGTCTCATTTTATCTTCTTTTTTTTTTCCTCCCATCAATAAAAGGCACGAAGCCGAGCGTGCCAGCGCGCCTCCCCCACAACGAGCCTCTGTCTGTCTGCGAGGGTGTGCAGCTACCACGCATCCTACAGATATAAATAGCTTTAGATCAAAGAAAAACACCAGCCAGCACATACAGCTAATTACGCACGTGCACGAAACAAAAAATCCCGTTAGGTTTTCCACACAAAGAGGGTTTTTAATACGCCGGAGCGTTTGATTTCTGCACCTTCAGTTCTCCTAAACGAGTCCCGTTAACACGTCGGCATATTTGTGTGTCCTCCGTCCTCGTGCACGCGTACACAATAGACACATCAAAGATGGGGAGGCGAGCGTGGCTGCCAGGGGTGGGGGGGGGGGCAGAAACAGAGGGGGCAAAAATAAATAAATAAATAAAGAGGAGGATGTGTTCCTGCCAGGCACTGGTTTATTTCCCCTGTGCCCAAACCCCCTCCCCATCCTCCACCAACATGCAAACAAAAAGGATGCCTCCAAACACACACACACACACACAGATACACACACACACGTTACCCCCGCCACCATGCCAGCGGCGCACAATGAAAACACACATGAAAAACAGTTCACTGCCAGCAAACAAACGAGCATTTTTAAGAGTTAACCCTTTAAAGCCCGATCCAAGAATAAAACAAAACCGAAAATTATTTTTTTTTTGTTTGAATTCCTTATTTGGCCTTTTAACTGAATATCTAAAAAGAAAAAACTGAAATAATTTTTTTAATATTAATAATTTATTACTATGTGATTAGTCAAGATTAATTTTTGTGTAGTCTTCTGCCCCCTGTTACCAGGTGTATGTGACTGTTTACAATAGGATTTTGAGCAAAGTTTTTACCATTAAATTATGCAAAAGGTGTCATTGTCACATTTCAGAAATCGGTGTATCAAATATGTTACATTTGGCATTACAGGGTTAAAAGAGCAACAAAAAAAACAAGAAAAAAAACCCAGTTTTAGTGCATTTGAAAAAGGGCCGAAACCACATTCATAGCGAACGCAATCACTTTAAAAAGACGTTCATAAGCGACACAAAACAATCCGACGGCTACCGACCGGCTCCAGCCGGAGGAACAACAAACAGATGGCGCGGCTCCCACTGAGCCCAGACGACAACATCAGGATAACGACAGCAGACAGAGACTCTGAGACCGCAGAAATCCACACGAACCGTCCTCCATCCTCCCAGACTCACCTGGGCCTTCACCTGCTATCAACACCGCTCAGATTAATCTCCTTCCTCATAATTGAACAAACGCCTGTTTACGAGGCTCTGCTCTGACATTTTTTCTGCTTATTTGAAAGATATTCACATCTATATATATACAATATAGTTACATATGTAGATATTTATTTATATTTTGTGTGGAATTTTGTATATATATGTATAGATGTGTATATATCTATATGCTGTTGTATTTCTGGAGTTAGTAAGAAAAAAAAAAATTAAAATTTTGTTATCATTAAAGTTTTTCTGTTCAACGTCTGCTTGGTTTGACTCAGATCGACAGCTACCACAAAAGTTATGGAAACGCAACATTTGTATGATAATTTAGTCGATCAGAAACTTTTCTAAAGGTTGTGATTTCAGGAGATGTTGAAACAATGGGGGAGCAACCAAACTTAATTTATTTTTAAACCTCTAGATTCTTAGCTTAGGTTTTGTGACATTATCTTTTTTTTTGTCTGTGGTTCAATTTTATCTTCAGTAAAGGAAACCTGAGCCGATTAGTTAGAGTGGAAAAA